GAACGCTCGGCGGGCTGATCGACCCGTACTCGACCTCGTCTACGCCACCTGCACCGCGGCCCTGGCGCGCCCGATCAGCGTCGTGCCACCTGACCCAAGACGGGTCGCAGGCGTCGTCCCGACCGCGTCCAGACCGTGTCCTGACGTGATCTGCACGTCTAAATCACGTCGGCGTCAAACGACCGACGTGCGCCCTGTCACAGCTCTATCTCCGATCGCAGCTGCCTCTGCGCGTCCTGTGGATGTACCTTTGTCGCGCGCCGGAGACGACTCGACGCCGCTGAGATCGGAGATCAAGCTCTGACAGGTCGCACGTCGCTCCTTTGACGCCGACGTGATTTACCCGTGCAGATCACATCAGGACACGGTCTCGACGCGATCGGCACGACGCCTGCGACCCGTCTTGGGTCAGGTGGCACGACGCTCATCGCGCCCGCCAGCGCTGCCGTGCAGGCTGCCACGTCGAGGTCGAGCACGCTTCTATACGCTCGCCGAGCCTTCCTTTCCATCCCATTAGGCAGCCTGGGAACGGTGGCGATCAGAGGCAAAGCCTACGAGGGGTGGTGGAACCACATGTCACGGCTACTGCCGGCTCGACCCCACGATAGCCTCCGAAGGCTGACTTTGAGGCACCATCATCGGACGATGTCGACGAGTTGGGTCGCTCTCGCGGTAGCCAGATGACCTCTCATACTAGGATCATCGGCCATGGCCGCAGGGAGCGCGGGGGAGGGCGCTGGAAGCAACACGGAGCTCCGTTGGAGACGTTTTCAAGATTAGCGTGTCAGAGTGAAATGGCACTAGCCTGTACAGAAGACGTACAGAAGGTGTACAGAAGGTGTACAGAAGGTGTACAGAAGGAATGTACAGAAGGTTGAAGGAAAAGAAAGCTGCATGCGCTCTCACTGGCTGGTTGTACGGCCCTCAAGGCATACCCAGACGAGACAGGGCACAGGCAGCAAGCCCCTCTTGGAGCAGTGACATCCATACACATTGTCGTGTCTGTGCAGCGGCCGGACAGTTCGGAGAGGCCATGGGTGTACCTGTGCACATTCTGCTGAAAAAGCCTGCTAAAGGCCTTCTGCACATCTGCTAAAGGCCTTCTGTACATCTGCTAAACGCCTTCAGTGGCCTCGACTGACGCCTGAGTGGCCTCGACTGACGCCTGAGTGGCCTCGACCGACGCCTGAGTGGCCTCGACCGACGCCTGAGTGGCCTCGACCGACGCCTGAGTGGTCTCGACTGACGCCTGAGTGGCCTCGACCGACGCCTGAGTGGCCGACGCCTGAGTGGCCGACGCCTGAGTGGCTGACTTGTGTGTCATGGGCAACAGCCTGTTAGGGGCAACAGCCTGTCATGGGCAACAGCTTATATGCCATGGGCAACAGCCTGTTAGGGGAAGACAACGCTTGTCAGCCAAGCCCGGGGCGGCTACGGCCGCCACCCTCCTACCGGGCAACGACCCCAACTTCGTCGATGGGCCTTTTGAGACTCACTGGAATCGACTCCCCGGCAATCGGCGCGATGGGCCTTATTTGGGCGCCGACGCTCGGGGTCGTCTGGCAACGGCACCGGGAGCTCGAGACGCAGCTCTCGGGGCCAGCCAACCCAGGAGTCGAAAATAGGACCAATCTCAATGACAATCAATATCAGCATGAACAACGGGGACTCGGACGCGATGGATAAGGTGAAGCCTCTGGGGGGGGGGTCGGACCCCCCCCTAGCATGTGGTGAAGCCTCTGGGGGGGTCGGACCCCCCCCCTAGCATGTGGTGTGAGCAGAAGTGCGCCCCCCTCCCTGGAAGCGATGTGCGCCTGCTCCGACGCTTTTGTCCCATAATACTCCCTAAAACTTTACTCGTGCAACAACCATGGGTCCAATGCCTTCTGCTGCTGGGGGGATCGGGACCCCCCCCAGCAGCAGCGCTCTGCTGCTGTGGGGAGGGTGACTTTCTAGATCTAGAGCCGTAGATCATGTGTGCAGGCCAGGGGGGGGGGCCGAGCAATGTGTGCGGCCGCGCGCTCCTGACAAGCGCCACAAGGCAACTTTATCTCACGTAGAGAGCTAGCTCTATAGGAAACCATCTTTTGAAACGTTTCAATGTTGAGGATCATGCATCAATGTCGAGGATCATGCATCATTGGTCACTAAGCTGTGTATGGCGGCCCGTCGCCGCGACTCGACGCCGCGCCGCTCTCCCTCTCCTCTCCGCGCGTCTCCTCACCGCCGTTTCACCTTGCCGCACGTGTGCGGCCGGTGCTTGCCGGCGCACGCCTCGCACGATGGGGACGGCGTCCACTCCTTTGGCGGCTTCGGCGGCTTTGGCGGCCGCGGCTCCACAGGCGACGGCTCGGCGCTGCCGGAGAGCTCCCACGGGAACTGCACCGCCAGCGGGGCGGGGCGCCTGAAGCCACCGCCGCCGCCGCCGCCGCCCTCGCCGCCGCTGCTGCTCGCCGCGTCGGACGACCTGCCCGCCGCCCGCGCCACGCGGCCCGACGTCTCGACGTAGTCCCACCGCCAGCCCTCCCTCTCCATCAGGTGGCGTAGCACCTGCGCGGAAAGCGGAGGGCGGAGGGCGGGGGCGGGTCGGCGTGAGACGAGGCCGGCGGGGCGCGGCGGGGCGGCGGGGCGCGTCTCGCGGCGGCACCTCTCCGTCCTCGTACTTGATGGTGTGGCCCTCGGCGGCGCTGCTGCTGAGCACGAGCCCGCGGAACCAGCGCTTCTCAGCCGGCCACCATACGCGGACGCGGCGGCCGGGCAGCGGCGGCGGCGGGTCCTCGCCGCCCGCGCCGCCGCTGCCGGCGCCGCTCGCGCCGCTGCCGCCGCCACTCCCGCTCGCAGCAGCCGCCGCGCCGGCCGCCGGCCGCTTGCGGCGATATTTCGGTTTGCGCGTGGCGTCGCCGTCGGAAAAGACGTCGGCCTCGTACGCGCGCGCCACGTACTCGCGCCAGAGTGCGCGCACCTCCTCCTCATCCTTCATCGGGAGCCGCCCCGTGTTGTTTGCCTCTGTGCTTTCACACTTCTTCATGTCGTGTCCGTCCCCATTGTGATTGCGGACGTCCCCGACTACGTCGTCTCTAGAGAACGTACACAACCTGCGCAAGTGAGTTTAGAGCGGTGGTGTGGGGCGTGCAGTGTGGTGTTCATTAGCTCCGAGTAGAGGGGGCGTCCTTCCTGCAGTTAAGGGGAAACCCGGTACGCGGGGCTAACCCTCGGAGCCCCGTGTTTACTTTACGGCCCTTGCCCTGCGAACGCGCACGCACGCACCCCCAGGGCTAGGTAGGGCTCTCTTGCCCGCAACCCGATGCCAATCATCCGGCCCGCTGGGTGCGCTTCTTAGCTCCCCGGCCCTGGATGTGCGGTTAATGACTGCACTCCAAGTGCTCCAAGTGCACAGGACTCATCAACCGTGAGGGTGTGTGTGTGTGTGTGTGTGTGTGTGTGTGTGTGTGTGTGTGTGTGTGTGTGTGTCGAGGGCGGCAGCGGTGGCGGCTCGAGGGTGGAGGTGGAGGCTGGAGGCTGTGGTGGACTTTGAGTTTGGGGTGGGGATGTCGGGGTGGGGAGCGGGTGGGCGCCGGAGAGCGGAGTGGGAGTGGTGGTGTGACTGCTCCTGTGGTGCGGGCGACGGCTCTGAGGAAGCCGTCGCCCGCGCCTCGCTTGTCGCGTGAATCGTGTCGTGCGACCGCCTTTTCTTGTTGCCTCCTTCTAAATTCTTTTTTTGAGGCAACACCATGATGCTCTGCTCACGCCTACAGCTGCCTCGGCACGCGCCGCGGCCGGCCGAGGCGCTGGAGGCGCCGGGGCAAGACGAGAGCGGCGCTCCGTCCGAGGTGTGCCAGGCGTGCGGCGGCGACGACGACGAGGAGGGCAACGAGATCCTGCTCTGCGACGGTGAGGGCTGCAGCGCGGCGTTCCACATGATGTGTTTGGAGAAGCCGCTCGCGATGGTGCCCGAGGGCGACTGGCTTTGCCCCGCCTGCTGCGCCGCGCAGGGCTGCGCGCAAACGGAGCCCTCCGCCCGCTGGGCGCCCGCCGACGAGTGCGGCATGGCGCTCGGAGTCGGCGACAAGCTGTGGGCGTGCGACCGGCGAGGCTTCTGGGCCGAGGGCGCGGTCGTGAAGCGAGTGGAGGCGGCCGAGGAGGCCGACGCGGGCGGCGGCGGCGCGGCGGCCGTTGTGGTCAAGTTCAAGGGCTTCTCCGCAAAGCTCAACGAGCAGATATCCGTCGGCGCCGGCCGGCTACGGCCGTGCGAGGTGGGTCCGCCGCCGCAGGACGCGGGGGTGTACGTGGTGGAGCGGGTGGTGGAGGTGCGGACCACCAAGGGCCGGCCCGAGTACCTTACCACCTGGGTCGGCTACGACGACCAGACATGGGAGCCCGCCAAGAACTTTGTCGGCGAGGCGGCCAAGGCCGCGCTTGCCGAGTTTCGGCGCGCCGCAAAGGCGGCGGCGAGGGAGGGCGAGAGCGGGGAGGCGGCGGCGAGGGAGGGCGAGAGCGGGGAGGCGGCGGCGGGCGGCGGGGAGGCGGCTGCGGGCGCGGAGCGGGGGTCGGAGGCGGGAGAGGTGGACGGGGCGGACCTGCTCGAGGCCCCTCCGCCTCTGGAGTGGCCTGGGGCGGTGGTGATGCGGCGCGTCGAGCCGCTGCCTCCGTCGGGCACGTGGATATTCCTGCACGGGAACCACCCGGTGGCGGACCGGCCGCTGCAGTACATGCCGCTCGTCGGCGAGGAGGGCTTCGACGCCGACGAGGGCGCCTCCGACGCAGCCAGTCTGCAGAGCGAGGCGAGTGGCAGCGCCGCGCCGCCCTCCCCGCAGCACTCGCCCTCGCCGCCGCCGCCGCCGCGAGCGGGCGACGCGCGGGCGAGCCGCGGCGGCGCCCCGGCGACCAAGGCGGCGGCGGCAGCGGCGGCGGCCAAGCCGGCGGTGGTGGCGGCGGCCAAGCCGGCGGCGGGCGGCGGGGAAGCGGGCGGCGGCGCAGCGGGGAGCGGCGGCGCGACCGACGGCAGCCTGCTCGCGCTCTTCTGCCGACGCTGCTTCACGTACGACTGCTCGCTGCACGGGGTGGGCCAGCCGGTGCCCCGGTGGAGGTACGCGGAGGCGGGGCCGGCCGAGGAGGCCGAGCCGGCCAGCGCGCCGCTCGTCGCGTCCTGCACTTGCCAGCTGAGCCGGTGGGGGCAGCCACCGGCGGGCGGCGGGCAGGGGCCGGCGGAGGTGCTGCGGCCGTACGAGGCGGGCCGGCGGACGGGGCTCATCAGCCTGGAGCTGCGGCACAAGCAGCGGAGCCAGGTCGCGAAGGGCGAGTTCGAGACCCACCCGACCGTCGCGTGCGACTGCGACGGCCCTTGCGACTCCTCCAACCCAAACTGCGTCTGCGTCGCGAGCGCGAACTTTTGCGAGCCCTTTTGCGCGTGCGGGCCGCTGTGCGCGAACCGGTGGAAGGGGTGCCACTGCAAGAAGGGCGACTGCCGCACTTCTCAGTGCCCCTGTTGGGCCGCCGGACGCGAGTGCGACCCCGACATCTGCCACTGCGCCGCGAGCGAGTTCGCTGACGCCGGCTGCGAGGCGTGCATGCCGAAGTGGGGAGGCGGCGAGGAGTACTGCATGCCGTGCGACGGCGGCGCGGCGGCGGCAAAGGCGGACGTCGAGGCGGCGGTGCCGTGCCGCAACATGGGCCTGCTGCTGCGCGAGCACAAGCCGCTGCTGCTCGGGCCGAGCCAGGTTGCGGGCTGGGGCCTCTTCTCGCACGGCTCGATCGAGCGGCAGGAGCTGGTGACCGAGTACGTCGGCGAGCTCGTCTCACACGAGGAGGCGGACCGGCGCGGCCAGGCGCACGGCCGGCGGCGGCGGCGCGCGCTCCCCACGGAGCCCTCCCCTCAGCCTGCTCGGACCCTTCTCCGCAGGTGTACGACCGGCGCGCGTGCACGTACCTCTTCAACCTCAACGCGGCGCAGGTGCCTAGACACTTCCGAGACACTTCCGAGACACTTCGCAAGTACCGCTTCAACCTCAACGCGGCGCAGGTGGTGGACGCCTGCCCGAAGGGGAACATGTCGCGGTTCGCGAACCACTCGGACAAGGCGAACTGCGACACGAAGATCATGACCGTGCGCGGCGACCAGCACATCGGCCTCTACGCCAAGGAGCGGATCGGCCGCGGCGAGGAGATCTTCTTCAACTACCGCTGGGACGAGGCGATCCGCGAAAAGCACGGCTTCGAGGCGGGGCGCGGCGGGCCGCGCAAGCGGCTGCGCGAGGGAGGCGGCGCGGCCGGCGGCCGGGGCAAGGGCGCCCGCCTCGTCCAGGTGGAGGGCGGGGCGGCCGACGGCGCGGCGGGGCTGCTGGAGCATGACGCGGCCGGCGTCGACCACCGGCTCGGCGGGGGCGCGTACGCCTCCGGCTGGCGCATCCGCGAGGCGTACCTGAACGCGCGGAAGAATGGCGAGTGGAAGTACGTGTGCCCGGCCGGCCAGTCGTTCCGCTCCCGCTCCGAGGCGGTGCAGGCGAGGGCGGCAGCGTAGTCGATAAGCGAGGACGCGGCGCGAAAAAGGAAAATACGTCCGCTGCCTCGAGGGCCGATCCGGCGCTACACGCACTCCAATATTCGGGGTTTCTCTGTCTATATGGCCTTGTACGGGGTGTGGACCCTGAGTTGACCAGGGGTTGTGCGCTGGGCCCTCCTGCTCGGCTTTAGCCAGTAGACAAGTCTTGTCATCAACAGAGTAGAAGGATCTGACCTCGGGGATGATGTGACCAAGCGCTGGTAGCGTGGTTTAACCTCACACCCATGGTCTCACAGTGTGCCGGCAGTCGCCGAGCAGTGTCGCTCACACAAGCCGCAGCACAAGTGACTGAGGGCCAGTGAGGGCGAGCCCATCGCTGTGACAGCTGTGGTAGCCGCACAGTAGGCTGTGCCAACTGTGCAGAGCGTGTGAGCAGCAGAGGAGCTGCTCTCCAGGCTTCTGTCGCAAAGAGCTGCATGCCACCGAAAGCGCTGTCGAGGTTCGCCGAGCGCGGCGCAGGTTGGAGGACGCCGTCACCGACGAGCGCGTTGGACTTTTCACTCCGGACAAAGACGGGTACACGCACACGAGCCGCGGTCGTATACCCGTCTTAGCGGCGAGGCGCGGGACCGTCTGTGGCGAAGTGGGTCGCGTCCTCCGATTTCCTCAACTCACGGTCCGCTCCCTCTACACGTATCTGGCATAGTATCTCTCCGCGTGTCCCTCTCGTGTGGGCGGCGCTACTCACTTCACTGCCGCGCGTTCACCAAATCCCACTCCTCCCCGCTGTAAAAAAGGAGGCGAAAAAACTCACCCGCCGCAATTCGGACAATGTCTGGTCCCAAAACGTGCCACATGACGTCCACCGCCGCCGCGTTGGGCGGCGCGCGCCGACGCCGACCATCACCACCGACCGACGGCTCGCACGGCCGTGCGGTGAGCAAAAATTTGGGTCGCTGCGCGCCTGCTGGATGCTCTGCGACGTCTGGACGCTCGCCAGAAACGCCAGGAAGCTTGCCTTCCACCCCTGGGCCCGAGGGCGAACGGCAGTGGTCGGCAGCCTCTGCGACGCTCCGATCGGCTCCTCGACCTCATCGCCTGCGACGAGCCAGCATGGCTCGTCGCTCGACGGCAGCCTGCCCAGTATGCTCTTGGCATTCTGTACAGCCTCGCCAGGCTCTCTGAGACGGCCTGCAGGGCCGGCGCGGACCGCCTCGGGCGCGATGGCCCTCCTCAGTACCTACCTCTTCGATGCCTGTCGGCTCTCCAATCTCGTCGCCGACGGCAGGCCCGCATGGCGCGCTGCTCGATGGCAGCCTGCTCAGTACGCCTTGGACAGTGACTTCTGCCTCGCTGCTCTTACTGCAGCCGCCTCCAGGGCCGGCGCCAGCCGCCTCGCTTCGCCAGTGCTGTCTACGCCTGCGACACGCGTGTCGGCTCGCCGCCCGCGTCGCCCGCGGCGGGCCCGCATGGCGCGCCGCTCGTCGGGAGCGTGCCCAGCAGGCTGTGCAGGGCAGTCTGCCTCACTCAGGGCGCCGCCACCGCTGCGCGGGGCCGCCACCGGCGCTGCTGCCGTGAACACTGCCGCCGTGTACGTCACCATCGCCTCTCTTCATCGCCGATCTCGCCGACGCCGCTCGCCGCTCGCCGCCGCCCTGCCGCTGCCCTGCCCCGCCTAGCCCTCGCACAAACAAACAAACACACACACACACACAGACACATACAGACACACATACAGACACACAAAACACACCCTGCCCCAACCTCGAGCGCCCCGCGCCCTCCCGCCCAACGCCCTGCGCCTCACGCCGCGCGTCCCACGCACGCCCCGCGCCCCGCGCCCCCTCACCTTGCGCCTCACGCCTCCCTCCCCACCCTCTCATGCATTTCTCCTCCCTGCTGCTCGCCGACTCCTCCTCCCCCCGCATGACCGACGACTACCCGTCCTTCGGCGACTCCTCCCTCTTCGGCGCCAACGTCTACTACCCGTTCGCGGCCCGGTGAGGGGCAGGAGCGCAGCCATTCCAACGGCTGGGAAAGTTTCTGAACGGCCGCGCATGCGCCTGCATGCCGGCTTACTAAGGAGGTCCCTCGCTCCGGCTCCTCTCTCGGAAGACGCGCGCCGGACGTCGACGCGAGCCAATCCGATGCCTTTGATCGACCGATGCGAGCTCGCGCGCGCGCGCAAAACGCGCGACTCTGCGCCTTCGGCGCGGCTGCACCGCCAGCGCGCGGCGCGGCGCGCAGAGTGGACGAACATACCAGGCCAGAGTCTGGGGCTCTGCTGCGCAGAGCTGACGCGCAGAGGGGGAGAGAGGAAGAGGTGTGTCCTCGGACGCGCGCCAGTGCTTTTTTAAGATAGTGTTATGATGAAGGAACACTACGGCAACTCTCCGACACCCGCACTCGCCACTCTCGAGGTACACTCTCCCCCTTGAGCGCTTCTGCGTCGCGCTCAAACTCGACGTCGCTCGCATCCGCGCGCACGACCGCATCGCAGCTGTGGGCGCCGGCCAATGAGTGCCAGGTGGGTGCTCCAGGGGGGGCCGCCGAGAGTTTGCGAGGAGCATGACCTCGCCAGGCTCGCCACGGCGGTGAAGTTGAAGCGACTGTAGCTGCAGACGCTCCCAGCTGCTCGGTACGAACTCTGTTCACACCGAGTAGCTGGGAGTGGCTGCGGCTATTAGCTGTGGGCCGCTGTTTTCACGGTGCTCAGACTGCCCCCCGGTTAAGATCTCGTGCAAAACTCTTTTTACCACCTTCAAGTACACCCCCAAGACTCCCCAAAACCGCCCAGGATGAGCTCCTGAGGTGCCAGTCCGCCCGAGATATGACCGGTTGAAGTTGGGGTTCCACGGTCAGGATGGAGGTGCCGAACTGGATGGGGGTCAGCCAGGGAGGCTGTTGTGGCGCACCGGACCGCCCCCCAGCACCGTGCCCCACCCAACTGCATCCATGGGAGTCACAAACGGTGCTGCACTCGCGGCTGCAAGCACTCACGACACTCAAACCCACCACCTGCCTCCTACCCTGTACGAGGAGCCATTTCACCCGTGCAACATCTGCACAGGTGTACCGCCGACGCTCAAGCGCCCGGCCCCTACTAGAGTAGTCTTGGGGGACCCACAAACGACCAATACATCCACTCGGGGCTGCAGCATGTGTCCGGGGGGGGCATCCCCGTGAAGCAGTCAGCAGGTGCCGGACACGGCGTTGGCCGTCTTGGACCGAGATCAGGGCGCAACTGCCTACCTCGTGGGGCTGAAGGACCGTCATGGGGTCGGCTTTGATGCTGCCAATCAGTCGGGTCGATAGGTGGCGCCCCGGCGAGATGCATTGCGGGTGCTTGGCGTCGCCTGCTTGAGTGGCCTGAACGCACTCGCGGGAGCCAGAGAGCAAAGGTGTGCGCGAATTGAGGCTTCTGAGCGAGTCCAGGCAAGCCACAGGACCGGCCATGTGCGTGGGTAGTCGAGCGGTGGCCGGAGGAAGCCTCCAGTAGTGCCTCTCAGTTCGGCACCTCGGTCTCGACCACGACCAGACTGTGCTCAGCTCCGCCACGCTTGTCATCTCGAGCTCTGTGATGCGTCAGAGGTCCATTGCCTCCTCGCGCCCACCACCCATGTAGGCTCGCTCGAGATGGCTCACAAGCCTCACAGGTGGCCACGAGGCCTCGAAGGTGGCTGTCAAGCCTCGGCTTACCCAGACACGCCTCTAGCACCCTTTGGCGTACCGCTGGTCGCCACAGCGGTCGCCTCTTTGTGTTCGCCACGATGGGGTCGTCACACATTGTGGACGCCCGACTGTGTGGACGCCATGGCGCGGCCTTGGCCTCACGCCATGGACGCCACTGTGGGGCTCGCCTGGCGTTCTCGCCCGGTCGGCACCCTTGTGTCGGGACGCCACGTCGTGATCTCGCCCCTTGTGGTCGACACTGAGGTCGCCAACTGTGGACGCCAGCAGCTTACCTTTGGCTTGCTATTGGCATGCCTCTGGCTTGCCTCTGGAGGACTCGGTCATCCGTCCTCGGACAGCTCCACCTCAGGCCCAATGCCTTGGCGGCGGCGGGTTGGGGAGCTGTCTCTCTGGGCGTCACGTTGCATACTGTCTTGCACGTGGCCCCAGTGGAGGTCTGCCCATGTGGGCCGGCCTCTTCCTTGCCGCACCAGTACGGTTCCTGCGCTGCCTGCATTGCAATCGACATTGCGGCGGCATGCGGCGGCATTGTGACGGAACGTCTGGGTGCGGCGGAACGTCGGCTCGAAAGGCCCCATCGCCGACGATATGATGCACCTGCCCCACTGGCGTGGGATCAGGGCGAGATGTCATCACGCGAGATTGCGCACGACTCGGACGATGGGGTTGAGCAAGCGGCCCAAAGCTGCGAGCCGACGGCGACGCGTGCTTTCGGCGTTTCGGCGATTTGGATGGATCGCACGTTTTGTTATGCTTGCTGTTCCCCTCTCCTCACGTTGTGTAGGTATATCTCCTATCTCCTCACGTTGTTGGATAACCTACATAGCCGCTGCGCGGCTATCTCCGATTTGCCGCACGCACCGCGTACTTACTACTTACTTACGTACGAAGGTGGTACATACTTTTAGCTTAGGGTCGTCCCCCTGCACCCCTCCTCACAGTAGAGAGGTCTCCGTATTTATTTATTTGTTTATGCTCCCCCCGCCCCCCGGGGGCGCCCGCCCGGCCCCGCGGGACCCGCCTCGCCGCACGCGCCCGGCGAGCAGCGGCGCGCCGGCGGGCGGCGGCGCGCCGCCCGTTAGTCGAAGCCCGGCCCGAAGCAGCCCGAGCCCGAGCCCGCCATCTGCGCGACGCGCTCGTTCTCCGACATCTTGCTCTTCTGCTTTGGCCCGTCCACCCACCGCTTCCGCTTCTTCTTCAGCTTTTTCTCGCGGTTGCGCTCGAGCTCCTCCGCCGCCTCGGCCGCCTCCCCGTCCAGCGACCGCCTCTTGCCGCCGCCGCCGGCCGGGCCTGCGATCGCCATCAGCTGCGCCACCTTCGAGTCGACGCCGGGTGGGCGGGCGGCGGCGGCGGAGCCCGACGCGGCGGCGGCGGCAGCGGCGGCGGCGGCGGCGGCGACGCCTCGCACGACGTAGCGGCGCGAGGAAGCGCCGAGGCTGATCTCGGAGCCGTCGCGCAGCGGGCCGCACCGCTCGCACGGTTTGAGCTTCGCGCCGTCGACAAACGAGCCGTGGGACGAGTTCATGTCGAGCAGGTAGAGGCCGCCGTCCTGCTCACGCGCACCAAATCGTCATCGGGGCGGTCTTCACACCGGCGGGGCTGCAAGCCCCGCCGTCTCCTGCGCGTGGACGAGCGCGGCGTGCACGCGCGACGCCGACGCGTGCTCGAGCTGCACGTCGCAACTGCAGCGGGGCGGCGCCGCCGACCGGTCACAAGTCGCGGCGCTGCTCTCCTCGTCCCCTCTCTGCGACGGGTTCGCACGTGAGCGAGCGGCCAAACGTGTAGACAGCGTGCTCGCCGATGGGCAAGCTGTCGAGCTCCTCGCCGCCTGACTCGACAGCTGGGCGGGTGAGGCGGCGACGCCGCACACACGCAGCTCGCCGCCCGCCCCGCCGCCGCCGCCTTTGCGCACAGAGAGAGTCGCGCGCGATGCGACCGGCGGCCCGACCGCAGCCCAATATGGAGGCAAATCCGGCGCGCCGCCGCCGCCCGCCGGCGCCTACAGGACGGCGCGCAGAGGGCTCCGAGACGGGCGCCCCTCCTCCCCCGCCGCCGCGACCCCGCCCGCCTGCTGTGGGATGTACACGCCAGAGCGCTCGCCCGTCAGCTCGCGCTCGTACTCGGCGAGGCAGCGGAGGAAGCCCTCGTTCGGGTTGACGATCGGGCGGCGACCGGTGGCGAGGGCGAGCGCCTGCGCGCGGGTCGGCGGCGCGCGTCGCGGGCGGGAGGCGAGGGCGAGCGGCGTCGAGGGCGAAGGGCGAGGGGAAGGGCGGCGGCGGCGCTGGGCGGCGGCCTCGGAGAGAGGCGTCTTGCGCTCGCGCATCAGGAAGGCGAGGACGAGCGAGGCGGAGCGGGAGACGCCGCGAGAGCAGTGGACGAAGACGGCGCCTCCGCGCGCCTCCGCGTCGGCGATGAAGTCGCGAGCCTGAGCGGGGGATGAGGCTCAAGGAGAGACGGGTGGGGGCGAGACGGAGCAGCGGCCAGAAGCGGGCAGAGGAGGGCCCGGCGAGGGCGGTGGGAGGAGGGGGCGCGCGCCTTGTCAAAGTGCTCCTTGATGTCGGCCGCGGCGACGTCGCGCACCGCGCACCAGAGGTGCCTCACTCCCGCCTCCCGCACGGCTGCCTTGAGCGACGCGGGAGGGTCTGCCAGCGCGGTGATCGCGTGGGTGACGCCGAGATGCTCCTTGAGCCGCGGGAGCGCGACGGCGTCCTCGATGTCGCCCAGGTAGAGGAGGCCGGGCAAAATGCACGACGGGTACGCGGGCGGCCGCTTGCCCGCCTTGGACGAGCTGCCCGCCGCGGTCAGGAACGGGCGAGCCGCCGCAAACGCGGCAAACGGCTCTGCGAGAAAGAGGGGCCGCTTGGCGCCGGCGCCGCGGAGGGAGGCCGCCGCGGCGGAGGCCTGCTCCGTGTCATCCGCGACCAGCACCACCGTACGCCCCGCCCACGCCGCGCGCTCGGGAGTGGTGAGCACGCCATCCTCGCCAACGACGGCGTGGTGCGAGCCGCGGATGCGGCGCTCGGAGAAGCTCTCGACGGAACGCAGATCCAGGACGAGCGGAGGGCCGCCGTGCGGCCAGTTCTTGCGGGACTGTAGCTCGTTGAACAGGTCGAGCGAGGTGAGCCCTGCGGTGAGCCCTGTCGTCATGGCTGCAAAGAATACAACAAAGAAGAATTTTACGCCAAGCCCCTCTCACACAGACTGGCTCGGACTGGCACTACAAATGGCACAGCAGGCGACGGCCCCTTACGGGTCGTCAAAGAGGCCGGCGTACTCCTCCGGCCGCTCCTCCCCGGGCTCTGGCTCCTCCTCCTTCGCCCGCGCCCTCGCCCCCCGCCGGCGGCGGTTCCGTGCAGCAAACGTGCCCAGTCAAACGCGGACTCAAGTAAACACGCTGGCCGGCCTTTGGCGGGTGAGCAGCGATGCCACCGGCTTGCCTGCATGCCCTCTCCCTGCGATTCGCTGCGTCAGTAGGGCCCACCTCTCGTGCTGACATCCCTCGTGCTGGCCCCTCGCAGGCATGGCCACGGAGGCGTGGCTCGCCGCAGGCGCGGCTCGCTGGACGATGCAATGGCATGCATGGCATGGCCTGCCTCCTTCGTCCATCAAGGATCCCATCCCGGAAGTAAGTATCGGCCTTCTCCTTTGCACACTGCACCCGGGTGCAATCTGTGGAGCCCTCTGCGCACTGACCGCTCAAATCGGTTGGTTTGCGCAGGGCGACGATGGCTGGAGCACCATCGCTCCGACAGAGTCGACCTCGACGGCGAGCTTGGTCGAGTCCGGATCTAAGCCCGTGGACGCCGTGCGCCTCTCCAACAAGTACGGATCCGCGAACAAGATGTCTCCAGTCCCATCAAGCAATTTCCATGGGAGGCGGTGGGAGCCTGGGATGAAAGCAAGCGGGCCGCTATTCGGACTAATGTCCTCCATTGCGACCCAAGATGCGAGCATCGTTGATGCAGGGTTGGTTGGCACAAACCACGGGTCTCGATGAAGGGCTTGCTTGCTGCCGTGTGAGAAGAGAAGGCTCTGAGTGGCGACGCCCACGTCATCGAGTACCAACTCCACCATTCGGAAGAGTTTCGGGTGGCGCAGTAAGTTGCTAAGTGCCTTGCTGTGGCTGTGCGCTTCGAGGATCTTCGTCCCAGCCTGATGCGGCAGGCCCGTGCTCGGATCTACCCAATCTGCTGGGAAGTGAGACATGGGTGTTGGGACACCAGCTTTCACTGATTCATGCTTTGCCAGCAGTTCCTTTGGCCGCTTACGCCAAGCATTCCAGGGTGCGGGGAGGAGGCGCCCGGGCTCGAGGTCAAGGTCGACTACTCGCCCACCTCCTTCGCCGGCTTCAAGCTCGAGCGCGACCGCGAGCGGCGCACCCTCACGCTGTCCATGCCGCAGAAGATCATCGAGGCGGCACGCGAGCACATGCCCGAGCTCCTCCGCGGCGAGCGTCCGACCGTCCTCAGCGGCAAGCGCCTCGCCGACGCCGCCGACTCGCTCAAGCTCGCCGACCGCGACGGCAAGCTGTCGCCCCAGCAAGTGCGCACACAGAGCATCATCGGCCACCTCAAATTCGTCGAGCGCGTGCAGCCGCGACTCTCCCTCGTCCTCCACCGCCTCTCGTGCGTCATGTCGGCGCCGCCGCCCGAGGCCTACGAGGTAGCGCGCGCCGCGCTCTGCACCGCCTACGACCGCAAGAACGACGGCATCACGTACGGCGGGCTAGACGCGGAGGCCGAGTTGCAGGGCCGCATGAGCGCGCACATCGCCGGGCTCGACTCGCACGCGCCCACCGAGCTCGTCGCCGCCGCCGACGCCACCTGGAACGGCGACCTCGACCTCTATGGCATGCTGCTCACCTGCTTCGGCGCTGCCGTCATGCACAGCGTCAAGAAGATCGGCCTCGTCGTCGACTCCTCACACGAGAGCGAGGCCATCGCCAGCGCCAAAGCGGGCGAGCTCGTCGCATACGCCCGCGAGGTCCTCGTCGCCCTCGGCGCCCCGCCGACCGGACCGACCGTCATCCTCTCGGACAACAAGGCAAACGTCCTCGTCGCCAACAACGCCAAATCCGCCTCGCGCTCGCGCCACTTCCTGCGCCGCTACCACACGCTGCAGCGCCGCATGGCCGACGGCGAGTGCCGCGTCGTCAAGATCACCGACGATCTCATGCCCGCCGATTTCTTGACGAAATGGGTCCCCAAGGAGAAGCTCAAGCGCAGCGTCGACCACGCCTCCAACGCGCGAGCTCGCGTGGTGCATTGGGGGAACTGATCAATGCCGCCTCTGCGGGCCGATCCCGCCCAGCGACATTGGGGGGGGTGCGGTAGGTAGACATTCTACCTCCCATCCAACCCACCGAAACCCGTATGGATGGGTTTTACCGCCGCCTTTTACCATCCATAGCCGTCGGGTTTTACCTCGCGTTCTCTTGGTGTCGTCTATGGTTTGCTAGACCCATGAGACCATCCTCGCCGCGCTATCGGGCGCCTCCACCGCCGCCCTCAGCCACGCCGCTACGACCGTCGGAGGCGTCAACTCCGCCGTCACAGTCCATGCACAAGATGTGCAACACATAAAAACTCTCAAGTAAACTTGGTGCCCTCCAACTTCATGTCGCGAAGTTCGTCTACACGTTGCCGTGTCTTTTTTGTGACTCACTTCACAATACGACCTATATCGCGGAACACGGCACTCGGCAGACTGAGCCGGGGCGGCTCTCCGTCCGGCGGCGCGCCGCCCAACGCCGGCGCGCCTCAACTGCGAGACCTCCTGTCCCTGGTTGGCCGCCAGCCTCATCGGCCGCAGATCGTTCCTAGTCTCTCTTCAGCCGCTGCCGCAAGAGCAGCGCGGGCACGCCTGTGGGCTTGATGCCCAGCGCGGCGACGAAAGCGTCCGCGATACCGGCGGCGGCGATGAGGCCCACCTCATGCACCTCGTTCTCCGAGCACCACGCCAGCGCCTGTAGGGCGGGGCCGACTCGCGCTCTCAGGCAATCGCTTTTCACGCTAGCGCCCTCTCCCACCCCACCCCTTCCCCGTGTGCGGACCTTTTGCTGCGCCGCCTCGGGCAGCCGGTCCACCAGCGCCGTGAGACCGGCCACCTGCTCCAGCCCTGCCAGCGCCGCTGGCGGCGGCACGGCGTCGTCGCTCTTAGCGGGCAGTGAAGAGGCCGAGCCGAACCCGACCGACGAGGTGGAGGTCGAGAGCGGCGGCGACGTCGCCACTGTCGCCGTCGACCCGGTCGTGCACTCGCCTCTCCCCACCGCCGCCACTGCCGCCGCCTCCTCGGCCGCCGCCGCCGCTGCCGCCTCCTTGGCGGCGCGGTTCTTGCCGCCGCCCCCGCGGCGCGTGGCGCGCCCGCGGTACGGCTGCGGCTCGCTGAAGACCGCCGCATCACTGTCGAGCCGCTGTGACCAAGGCGACGCCACCAGCGCCTCCTTGGCGCGCTGCTGCGCCGCCGCCATCAGCAGGGCCGCCGTCGCGCTGTTGCGGGCAACGGCGGCCGCGGCGTGCGGCATCGAGCCGTCACGCGCACGCGCGCACGGATCGGCGCGGCAGTCGAGCAGCTTGCGGCAGATGCGGCCGGCGGCCGCGTCGGACGACCACTGCGCCACGACGGAGAGGACGGGCAGCCCTTCCTGCGGCCGAGGCATGGCCGAGGTGCGGCCGAGGTGCGGCCGAGGTGCGGCCGAGGTGCGGCCGAGGTGCGGCCGAGGTGCGGCCGAGGTGCGGCCGAGGTGCGGCCGAGGTGCGGCCGAGGTGCGGCCGAGGTGCGGCCGAAGTGGCCGAGGTGCGGCCGAGGTGCGGCCGAGGTGCGGCCGAGGTGCGGCGAGGAGAGCAGGCAGCATCCCGCTCCTGCGAGCGGGCGCACGATGCGGCCACCAGCTGCGGCGGCTGCATGCAGCCGAGCAGCATTGAGGCGGCCGTCTCGGCCTGCGGTTGCGTGGCAGCAGCGCGTCAACAGGGCGAGGGCGAGAGGCCGTGGCGCGTCGTAGGAGCGGGGAGTGTGGGAGGGGGAGGGGCGGCGGGGCAAGCGATGCGTCGGTGTGGGGTGGGCGGAGGGGGGGGGGGGGCGGCGGGCTGAGCCTGCGCGGCGGCGCAGAGCAGCAGCGGCGTCACGTGCCGCACGCGCGGAGGGCCGCTAACGACGTCGCAGCGCGAAGCGAGCAGCAGCTGCACCACCTGCTAACAGAGCGGCGCCGTGTTAGCAGCGTCTCCCCATAAACGGCGGGCAGCAGCTGCAGCGCCGGCAAGTGCGACTCGCCACGCAGCAGCGCCAAGTGCAGCGGCGGCCAGCCGCACTGCGAACCCTCGCCCACGCGCGTGCTCGGCAGCCGCAGCGCGGCGAGCACGCCGCTCGGGTCGGCTGGCACGCGGTACACGGCGGCGCCTACATCTCGGGGGCCTCGGCTGACCTTGGCGGATCTCGGCTCGGCCGGCGCGGCGGCAGACGGGAGGCGCCGAGCGGCGTGAAATGCGACGCCTCGGTGCTGAGCACGAGCTCCTGTCGCAGCGCCGCCAGCCGCCTCTCACTCTCACTCCCCCCCTCGGCGACGCCGCCGGCGCCGGCCCCCAAACCGCCGCCCTCGCCGCCCTCGCCGCCCTCGCCTCTGCCGCCTTCGCCGCCGCGGCCGGCGGCGCGAGCGCCCTCCCCGCCGTCCGCGGCGGCGGAGGCGGCAGCGGCGATGGCGGCGGCGGCCCCCTCGGCAGACTCAAACGCGCGCGCGGCTACCATCCGCGCCGCCTGCTCCGGGAAGGGGGGGGGGGAGGGGGGGGGGGGTGCTCTCCCGGAGAGCAGCGGGGGGGGGGGCGGGGGGGTGGGGGGGGGGGGGGGGGGCCCTTCCGCCGGGTGGGTTGGGGGGCCGGGTCCCTCTCCCTCTCTCCCTCTGGGGGCCTCGGTTGGGTCTGCAGGGAAGTCCCCTCCCTCGGCCCACGGCTCGGAACCGCTGTCCACCACCGTCGCAAAGTCGAGGAACTGCGCCGCCGGCGCCTGCCACGGCGAGGCGTGTGGAGAGACGCCGCTGCACGCGCTCCCAACCCCGGTTGGGGTGGGGTGGGGGGGGGGTGCAGGGGTGCAGGGGTGCAGGGGTGCGGCGCCCGTCGACTCTGGGCAAATGTCTCGGGAGACATCTAGGAGAACGCGCCTCGAACTTGTGCAGCAGCGCGTCCCACTCGTGCTGAAGCCGCTCCTACAAGCGTACCACACGCGGCGCACTGTCACGGACGCGCCCAGCCTGGGGCGGCGCCTCCTCTGCTCGCCGCGGCGCCGCGTCTCCCCTCGGCAGCGACGGGCTGAAGGGCGGCTTCGCCTTGCCGAACGCCTCCGCGCCGCCCTCGCCGCCGCCGTCCGCCGTGCTGCCGCCGCCTTCGCCCGCGTCCCCGCCCGCCCCCTCCCCGCCGCTGACGCCCTCCCCGCCGTTGGCGCCCTCGCCGCCCGCCGCCGCCCCCTCCTCGCCGAGCTCCTCCGAGATGGTGGAGAAGGCTGCAGCGAGGAGCCGCGAGAGCGACGCCGACCTACTCTCAGCCGACTCGCTCCGCAAGCCGGGGCGCTCTCCACTCACCCACGGCACGCCGCGGGGAGAGGCTCGGCCACCTCTGCTCCTGCCCCGGCCCCGCCTGCGGCCCGCCCTGCGCGGGCGAGGCCGCCCACTCGCTCCTCGCCGGAAGCGACGGCGGCGAGGGCGACTCGGCGGGGTGGCTCGAGGAGAGGGACGCCTCGGACTGGGACGAGGAGAGGGAGACGGGCGCCTGCTCGCGGCCGCGCGCAGTGAGGACGGATTTGCCTCACACGCGCCGCCGCCGTCGGGTGCCCTCACGCAGAACGACCGCGCGGGGGGGCGGTGAAAAGGGGGAGGAGGCTCTCGCCTCGCCGTCCTCCGACCGTCCACTCCTCTCTCCTCCCCTCTGCTCCCCTCTGCTCCTCTCCGCTGGTCGCGCGCCTCCGTCCTCCAGCTGGGACTCGTCGGGTAATCTCGGGTAATCTCGGGTAATCTCGGGTAATCTCGGGTAATCTCGGGGAATCGCGCCTCTCCGTCCTCCGACTGGGACTCGTCGGTGAGCGGCGCGCGCGGGCGGCTCTTGCCCGCCAGGGAGTGCAGACGCGGCAGCGCGCCTGAGGAGGGCTCCGACTCGAGGGTCGCAGATGCGGCCCAGGCAGAGTGCGGCGACGGCGGACGCGCCGATGACGGATCGGACTTCGCCCGGCTCGGCGACGGGGTACCTGTTCACACACCCGCGAGGGGCGAGAAGTGTGAAGAGCGCCCTCTTCACAGCTCGTGGTGGTGGTGGTGGTGGTGGTGGGGGGGGGGGGGGGGCCCACATGGGGAATCGGAGCGGCACGAACGCGCCGTCCTTGGGGCGCACCCGCAGGGGGAGCTTTTCGCCCTCGGCCACGAGGGGGGTCTCCTCCCTCGCCTACCGACACCGCCCGACCGCCGGGTGACCTCGGGGGCCTCCCCGCTGCCGCCCGCTGCCTCCTCCTCCCTCGCCTTTGCGGGGGCCACCAGGGCACGCAGTTCGGCCAGGTCGTCCGGGTGGACGGGGCCTGCTCACACCAACCTACCCTCTCTCGGGTCATCTCGGCTTCATCGGGGTCTTTCGGCTTCTCTTGGCGAGGTGGTGCGAGGGCCTCCTTTCCCACCCCGGCGGGGCGGGTGGCCCGAAAAGGAGGAGGGCTCTCCCCTCTCTCAGCTCATCTCGGCTCATCTCGGTGAACCCGGCGCCGATTGTCGCGCGAGGAGGAGAGCTCGGTCGGCGCGTAGCCGAACAGCCGCTTGCACTTATGCGACATGTAGAGAAACACGCCCTGGCGCGAGGCGTGGAGGATGAGGTCGTTGCATGTCTGCGCGAGCTGCCAGTACTGCCGCATCTGCGAGGGCAGCATCCGCATCATCTGCTGCTGCATCCGCTCGCGCTGCCCGGCGAGCAGCACCTATTCGGGCGCCGCTCGTGCACTGGCCGATCCGATCCGAGCCCACAAGTCTCTGCCCGGCCCGGGCGGCGTTTGCTCCAGCTCGAGCCTCCCCCGACCCATCTCGACTACATCTCGACTACATCTCGACCATATCTCGACTATCTGGCGCCTTTTGCTCCAGCTCGAGCCTCTCCCGCCGCACCCTCTCGCGCTCAGCGAGCGTCTCGGCGCGCAGCCGCTCCATCTCCGCCTGCTGCCGCGCCTGCCGGCGCGAGAGCGCCGCGAAGTGGTGCCGCATCACAACCTGCCACAGCCGCGCCACGTCCTCGAGCCGGATCGGCTTGACGAGGTACGACTCTGCGCCCGACCGGATGCACTCCTCGACCATGGCGCGCTGGTGTATGGCGGACATCATCACGACGCAGCGCTCGACCCGCTCGACCCGCAGCGCGAGCAGCAGCTCCTTGCCCGACATCCGGCCCGGCGCCATCACGATGTCCACCAGGATCAGGTTGAACTGCTCTGTCGCCGGCCGCGCGGCGTCGGCGGCGAGGAAGTCGAGTGCGGCCTCGGCCGAGCGTGCGATCGTGACTTCGTAGGAGCACTTCTCGCAGAGCGCCTGCACGACCCGCGCCGCAAAGTCCTCGTCCTCGACCACGAGGATCCGCAGCCTCTCAAACCCGCCGGCAGTATCCTCCTCGGCGGGCGGCAAGGCGCTGCTGCTGGGCGGCGACTCAGGCGGGTGCGCGGTGGCTGTGGCAGCCTCCGGCGCGGGCGGGTCGGGGGCGTGCATGCGGCGATGAGTGTCGTTGATGGACCTTTGCATGAGCTTCAAGAATTTAAAGCTATAAGAATTTGCTGCGCCCTCAGCCTACTCCAGCACTTGGCGCGGTGTGCCCCCGTCCACTCGCGGGATCGCAGTTGCCTCTGCGTGTCCTGGGGAGGTACAATAGTGTCGCCACCGGAGAGACGACTCGACGCCGAGCTGAGATCGGAGATCAAAGCTCTGGCAGGTCGCACGTCGCTCCTTTGACGCCGACGTGACTCACTCGTGCAGATCACATCAGGACACGGTCTCGACGCGCTCGGTACGACGCCTGCGACCCGTCTCGGGTCAGGTGGCACGACGCTCATCGCGCCTGCCAGCGCTGCCGTGCAGGCTGCCACGACGAGGTCGAGCACGCTTCTATACGCTCGCCCAGCCTTCCTTTCCATCCCATTAGGCAGCCTGTGGGAACGGTGGCGGTCAGAGGCAAAGCCTACGAGGGGTGGTGGAACCATGTCACGGCTACTGCCGGCTCGACCCTGTGTGTGCTGTGTGTGTGTGTCTTTCGGTGTGTGGACACAAGGAATCCCGCCGTCTAACTGCCATGTCACGGCCGGTCGGCTGCTGCTCTCGCCTCGCTGGCGGCGCGGTCTGGTGCCGCGGCGCCCAGCTCTCCTGTGGGCTCGCGGCGGCTCGCCGCCGCGGTGCCGAACAATGTGATCAGTCCGGATTCGTCCCGGCGTGCCGCCGGTGCCGCTTCCTCGCCGATTTTTGGCTCGACCAGTTTGTCGACAAAGTTGCCTCCGAGCTCCTGCTGCTCGACTGCGCGGCGGAACCGGCCCATCGCGGCTGAGACGTGATGCGCCGGCACCGGGGCAACGGCGCGGGACCATTTCCAGGCTCTCTCGAGCAACCTCAAATTTGGCCGATTTTGTGGATCTCAACCCTGCTGCTCTCTGACCACAACCTCGCGGCCCGCTGCGCGGCTCTCCGAGCGCGAGAGGAGTCGTCTACGAGGCGGCGGCGAGCGCAGGCGGCGGCGGCGCGGCGGCGCGGCGGCGGATCGCGGCGCAGACAACGGCAGCAATCTGGCTGCTGCTTGCTGCTGCAGCAGCTGCTGCTTCGGCTGCTGCTCCGCTGCCGCTGATTGTGGACACGATTCCCCCGATAACCCTGCCCGCCCGCTCCGCCCCGCCCGCCCGCCGCTCCCCGCTTGCTTGCCCGCCCGCCCGCCCGCCCGCCCGCCCGCCCGCCCGCCCGCCCGCCCGACCACCCATTCCCATCACCATCTCACATACCTTCATATAGGCGCTCGAGACCTCCTCTCGCTGCCTACTCGCTGCCTCTGGGGAGGAGGGGAAGATGTCGAGCGGGCGCCACTGCGCTAGCACGGCCGGAGGCTCCTCCCCGAAAGGCAAGTGTTAGCCACAAGAAACCGAGACCCCTCCCCACCGCCCTGATCCCCCCACCCCCTTGCTCCCCTCCCCCCCTCGGGAGGGCCGAACTGAGGCGCCCGTGGGGACCCCGCACTTCCCTTCCCCCCTCGGAGGGCCGGACTGAGGCGTCGAGGGCCCCGCTCTTTCCCTCGCATAGCGGCCACTCTTCGGATCGCTGGTCGAGCGACCCGGGGGATGCCCCGCGCGCCTGACCCAGGCGCGAAAACGAATCTGCGAGGCGTGGCCGCTCACGCGGCCCGATGGGGAGGAACGGGGCGAGCCCCCTCCAACCCACCCGCGCTAGGTCTCGGGGGACGAAGGGGTCACACCCGACGACCTCGGGAACTAGCCGGGGCAGTCGGAGAAGTGGCAACTCCGTGCACTGACGGTCGGCCGTCAGAAAACACGCCGCCGTGGCTCGGGTTACACCACTCCTCGCTACCCAACGCGGCCAAAGGATATCCACCTCGAGAACCTCGTGAGAGAGAGAGAGAGAATTCTTGATACGAAACCACGACGACACACACCAGTCGACTCGCATCGGTTGCCTCCATGAACGGCGGAGCTATTCTCGCGTCCACACCACACCTGGCTCCAACGTGGACACGCCCATAGCTGGGGACACTACTAGGTCACGCATGGCATCAGAAGTTTTATCTCTGGGCCCCGAAAGGCATCTCTAGCAGCGTCGTGACGCATGCGCCCTCCCCTCCTGGGCGCATACGCCTCACGTCTCGACAGAGCATAAGCCCTTGGCGTGTGACGAGACGAGTTCTTCGCCATCGCAGCGAGCAGCAAGCCACTCTCCGCAGCAGCCGGAGGCATCGCCGCAGCACTGTCTGCGCCGCGGTCCCGCACCCGTCGACGAAGCTCCCCCCGCGGAAGACCGCGCGTAGCGACGCCTTGACGATCGAGATGAGCGCGCTTGAAGCTCGCCCACCTACTGCCCCTGAGAGTTGGTTACCGAGTGGGATCAGCTCCCCCCCTTGGGATCGAAGCCGCCACACCTCGCACCCAACATCCCAGGCAGGATCAGAGAGAGACTCCGCACCGGACACCGCCCGGGCACAGACCCCCTACCCGTCGGACTACGCCTGGACCCCTCACAGAGCAGCCCACGCACAGGTCACGCATCGGCAGATTTGACACCTGGTTCAGGCGTAGACAGCACACACTGGTCACAGTTGCATAGCCCTGCCGGGGGGGACGAGTTCGCAAGGTTAATACCTCGTGTTGTGTGTGTTTGTTTGTTTGTGCGAGGGCTGCGGCTGGGCAGGGCAGGGCAGGGCGGCGGCGAGCGAACTCACGTGTGCCTTCATGTGCGCACCGCACGAGAGCCAGGCGCACGCTTCGCACGGCGCTAGCCTCTTCGTCGCGGAGGTTGGCGAGGCGCTCCGTCGCGCAGGAAGCCTCTCGGCGCGCATCACCGGCCGGCTCGCTCGCATCGACCGCACGCTCTGCCGGGCGGCTCTTGTCGACGCGCGAGCAGGTGTGACCAGTGAGGTGGTGGTGGACGTGTCGCAGGTCATCGGGCAGCTCTTCCACGATGGCGAGCTGGTGCAGGTCCTCGGGGAGCTCAGCCCGCCGGCTCTTGCGACCGACCCGCCAACGCTCCGGGCGAGGATCCTCCGCAACGTTGACGGCCTCGATCTCGAGGCGTTTGAGCGCGCAGTCGCCGGAAAGCACAAGTTTATGGCCGAGCGTGGGCTGGCGTAAATTTATCGTCCGTGCAGCGTCGCCTGTCCGATCCGCGCTGTGATCTCGAGTTTCTCCGGTGCGCCGCGAGAGGCATCCACCGTGATCTACCTGCTGCGGGTGGGAAGTTCCGCTCCACGACCTGTTCCACGGCGGGTGGGAAGTTCCACGGCGGGTGCTCATGCGGTACGGCGGCGAGCGCAAATGGCGGCCGGCGCGAGACCCGCGAGACGCTCGAGGAGGCGGCAAAGCGCGAGCTGCAGGCGGAGTAGCGAGAGAGAGATGCGAAAGAACCAGCGAACCCTCGCTCCCTCTCTTGCGCGCTCTATTTATCTCCGAGCGCGGCGCAGGTTGAAGGACACCGTCACCGACGAGCGCGTTGGACTTTTCACTCCGGACAAAGACGGCTACACGCACACGAGCCGCGGTCGTGTAGCCGTCTTAGCGGCGAGGCGCGGGACCATCTGTGGCGAAGTGGGTCGTGTCCTTCAATTTCCGTCAACCCAGCATCCACACCCTTTAAAGTTGCAATAGGAAATGACCACTTTTGATGTTTTTTATTCGTGTTGCTCCCAGCGCCCTCGCCCGCGCTCCCTGAGGCCATGGCTGGTGCTACTAGCCATGGGGGCAGTTATGGGGGGCTACCTGGCTACCGCGAGCAGAGCGACCCAACTCGTCGAGAGCAGGCGGACATCGCTTCCAGGGAGGGGGGCGCGCTTCTCTCCACGCCCCACCCCGCCCCCCCTAGCATGTGGTGAAGCCTCTGGGGGGGTCGGGACCCCCCCCCTAGCATGTGGTGAAGCCTCTGGGGGGGTCGGACCCCCCCCCCCCTAGCATGTGGTGGGCACCCCCCAGCAGTTCGTGGGCTAGGAATAGCCGCCAGAGAGCCGATTTTGCCCCAAAGTTGTGAAATCGTGGCTGGAAGTCCAATATCTTGGAGAATCTGACCAGTCTCAAGGCTCATGTAGCTCCAAAGGATGATCTTCCCCTGGAAAATGCTGCGAAATGAGGTGTAAAATCAAGGGCCCGGGGGGCCTTTGACCACGAGTTTTTGGGGGGTCCTCGGCCCCATGACCCCCCCCCCAGCATGTGGTGGAGGCGCTGGGGGGGTCGGGACCCCCCCCCCCCTAGCATGTGGTGAAGGTGCTGGGGGGGGGTCGGACCCCCCCCTAGCATGTGGTGTGGAGAGAAGCGCGCCCCCCTCCCTGGAAGCGATGTCCGGGCTCTTGAGCGGCTGCGCCACTGGCAGACGGCAAAACTGGTCGAGTTGCATTTGTCTGGTATTTGTCGGACAAACGCTGCACTGGTTGAAGGTAAGCGAGATGAGGAGCGCGACTTGGCTCATCAGCAAGGCACTGCGAAGCTGGACGGGACAGGCGGTGAGGCGGTGCGAATGTCGGTCCATTCGGGGTCGACCGCGGCCGCCAAAGCTGCGAGCAGCCAAGGCAACGCCATGCTATCGCCATGCGGCGAAACTTCAAACTTCTCTATGTGTATGTAGCTCTTCGACGTACGGCATTCCCGTAGGAGGACTCTGCTGACACAGGGTTTTTGCTGAACTAGTCAGCCGGAATTCCGGAAACAAATACACCGCCTCAGAGTCAGACACGTTCCAGAGTACCGAAAAGTAAGAGAAGCAAAATCGTCAGCGTCTCTCACCCCACCGCAAAGTCGCGCTCGCTCAGCTCCTCTTCCTCTGCCACCGCCGCGCCGCCGCCGCCCTCGACGGCTCCCGCAGAGCTGAAATTTAGTACCCGCAGCCGCCGGCCCCGCCGCCCCGCCCAGAGCTCGCCCGCCGCGGCGTCGCCCTTCGCCGCCCGGGGCCGCAGCAACGATGACCAATGCAGCGCCAGCGCGGCGTCCGCTGCGGCGGCCGACGCCGGCACGATCCAAGCGGAGCCGTCGCCTGCGCCGTCCGTGCCGCTGCCGCCGTTCGCGTCGCCTCTGCCCGCGCTGGAGGAGGTGGCCGTGTCGGGTGGCGTGTCGGGAGCCCCCCACTCGTGCCCTGCGGGGGGCGGGGCTGCGGCGACGGCGCCGCCGGAACCCACCACGTTTCCAGAGCCCTCGGCGCCGTCGGCTTCTAGCGCGGCCTCTTCCCCAGCCGCTGTGCCCGCGCCCGCCTCCCCAGCCGCCGCCGCCTCTGCCGAGCCAGGCATGCGTGTCAGCGAGGCGACCACGCGCATGCGCAGGAGGTCGGAGAGCGCGCCATCCACGTCGAGGCGGGCGCCGCCAGTCTCGATCGACCGCCGCGCCTCGCGCTCGAGGCTCCTCCTGTTCACACCCACACCACGAGTGAAGAGACGCCGTTGCCGTACTCCCGACAAGCCCGCCCGCCGCCCCCTCCTCTCCAGGGGCGGGCCCCGCCGCCGCCGGAGCCAGTTCAGCAGGGTTGCGGCGCGGCGCGCGCGCTGCGTAGCGGCCTGCTGCTGCAGGTAGGGCACGACGGAGGCGGCGCCACGCATGGCGAGGTGTGAGGTGCGGAAGCGGTTGAGGAGCAGCTCGTACCTGCCCGCCGATCTCGAGTGATCTCCGCCAATCTCAGGTGATCTCGGGTGGCATCGCGTGGTCTCGGGCGATCCCGCGTGGCCCTCGAGCATCTCTCGGGTGATCTCGTTCGATCTCGGGGGACGGCCACACGCACCGCGTGAGGGCGTTGTGGTAGCCAAGCGACGTGCGCAGCAGCCAAACGGCGAGAGAGACGCCCGCGATGACCTGTGCATGGCCGCTCGCGCGTGAGGAGACGCCGTCGTCCACACTCTCGACTGGCGCGGGCCGGGGCGCGACGTTGAAGCACGGGCGGCCATAACCTCGGGTGACCTCGCCTTCTGTCTCCGTCTCTGTCCGTCTCTGTCCGTTTTCGCACGCACCTCCTCCTCTCTCTCTCTCTCTCCCTCCCTCTCCCTCTCCCTCTCCCTCCCCCCCCCTCTCCCGTCCCCTCTCTGTCTGTATTCACGTTGAGCCGCGGGCGGCCACCCAGGAGCGCGCGCGAGGCCCAGAGGGCGTAGCCGAGGGTGGAGAGCGAGATGAGGTCGAGCCTGTGTGCAAGGCACCGGGGCGTGGAGGAGACGCTGCTCACCAGCCGAGGGCGGAGAGCGGGGAGGGGTGTCGAGCCGCAGCGCGTCCGCCGCGCGGAAGCACACGCGCGAGCCTACTCACATGCATCGGCCGCTCGAGGGCAGGCTGTCCGCACCTGTCGGCGCGCAGTACACACGCGCGAGCCTGGCAGGACCACGCCGAGGTTGGCCATCGGCACCTCCTCAAAGATCTCCATCTCAATCGACGGCAGCGACGACGGCGGCGAGGATCGCCGCCGCTGCCCCAAAGCGCCCTCGCGCTCCCCTCGCCGCCGGCCAACCAAGACGGAAAGGGCGTCCCGCAGCAACCGGCGGGGCGGATCCGCGGCGGGCGGGCGGCGGCGCCAGATGAGGAGCACTTGCTCGAAAGTTGGCTCGACGAGCTCGCACTTGCGGAAGAGGGACGAGGCGAGCCGCCGCTTGCCGCCGGTTGTGCCGATGGACACCTCGTCCGCGATCGAGACCCGCTCGACCAGCTGGCCGCCTGCGCCGCCGCCGCCGCCGCCGCCATCGCTGACCTCAAACGGAGCGAGGCCGTCGAGCTGCGCCGACGCGTTGAGGCCGGCCGCGTAGCGTCTGACGGCGGCGAGGGGAGAGTCGGAGAGCCACCTACGCACGGTTGGAGGACGCTGCCTCACAGCGTGCGGTGAGGTGCGAGGCGGAGGACGGCCGCGCACGTGTTTTGGAGATGGACCGCTTTCTGCCACCAGAACCGGTCGACCACCCTCTCCACTCCCGTCCCGCGCACAAACGCTAGGATGCGCCCTCCGAACGGCTCGCCCGCGGTCGCGCCGCCACCGCCGCCGCCGCCGCCGTCGAGCCGCTCCCTCACAACCTGCTCCAGCGACGGCCTCAGCCCAAGCGCCTCGCCGATGTTTTCGTCGAGTTCTGCCAGTCGTGGCCGATCGAGCGCGACGCGGAGGAGATACCCCGTGTTGAGGGCGGCGGAGAGGCGCATGTCCCGCATCGAGAGCGGCCGCCAGCCGCCCACCTCCAGCCACAACCGCACACCAGACACGTCCATCTCCAAAGTTTCTGCCTCAAAGATCCTCCGCAGCTCGTTCTCGCCCGGCGAGGCTACCGGCAGCGCCGCGCCCGCAGGCACGACGAGCTTGCGCACTCCGATCGAAGAGGCGAGGAGCAGCAGCATACACGCAGACCGATAACACAACCCCGGAGACGCACAAGCACAGAAAGTCGAGAAGCTATTCAGACCTTGAGCACTTGAGCACTGGATAGGGTCGGTTCCGCATGGTACGGGACCCCTCGATCGTCTCGCCCACCCTCACTGGTGTGTTCATCGGGTGGGGTCATAACAAACACGGTACAGGATCGAGGTGCACGCTGGTACGCTGCCAGAGCAGTGCCGTCCCCCCTCTCCCCGACGGCGATGGCGGTGTGACCGATCGAGCTACAAGAGGAGCTCGTTCAGCAGGATCCGGGGAGGTCTGGCGCACTACCTCACTGGGCCTGAGACCGCCGGGACAGTACCCGTCACCGTCTCGAAGAAGATTCAAGAAGATTCAAGAAGATTCAGACCTGTACAACTGTATCCTTGGGCCGCGTTGGGTAGCCTTCCTCTCTGCCAGGGGCCCCTCCACTCGCCTGCACCTGCTCGAACCCTGTGAGCACTGTGCGGCGTTGCACGCTCGAGGTCGTGATGTAGTAATGTCGCGGGGGAACGTGCAGTGGCGTGAGGGCCTGATTGGTGGTGACCTCGTGCTGCATCAGCGTGCGCAGCATGCTCCCTCACCCGGTGCTGAGACATGCTGGTGGGCGACTGGCGCCAGCTTCTCAGTGCTGTCCTTGGCGTTGTGCAGCATGTCGCAATACTCCTAAGTAAGACAAAGATTTCTTGAAGGAGAATGCGTGCACCACAATTAGTGCCGTCGGCTCATACACCACAAATTATTCATTATCGTACAAAGGAGAAGTTTACTTCGTATGGTACCCACCCCCTACATTAATTCTTCGCACGTACATAGACACATACAGCCGACACGAGTGCCAGGGCCACCCCGAAAAAAGTGGTGCTCGCGATCCATTGGCTGGATGGCTGACTCGAGCGTCAGTGGCTCGATCGACCACGCCGACCCCGACCAGCCGCCGCCGCCCAAGCTGTCGGCAGATGCGAGCGAGGAGGAGAGGACCGCACGTGCTGCGATCATGAAGGAGCGGGCGAAGAGGCAGCGGCAACAGCACGAGAAGAACAGGCAGCCGAGGGAGCGCAGCGAGCGGCAGTATGAGAGCGGGGCGGCCAAGCGCAAGAAGGCGGGCACTGAGGCCAAGAAGGCTGATGCCAACCGCCGCCGCCAAGTCGTCAGTCAGCACCGCCGCCAAGCCAGGGAGAAGGCGCGCCCGCCACTTGGCGAGAGCTTTGCCTCCATCCGCCAGCGCGAGGAGCAGCGGCTGCTCGGCGAGCGCTTCCTGTTCGTGCCCCAGCGCGTGCGTGTATCTGAGGGAGAACTTGCTGGGCAGTGCGGCACCATGCTGGAGCGCGGCCAGCTGTGCTTCCCCGACCCGGTGCCAAACGACCCGCGGCACATCATGAGCCTGGAGCTTGACGCCTCGGGCCGCGTGGCAATCACGGAGCCAAAGCACCACCACCAAGTGCTGCTCGACGGGAGCGAGGATGAGAAGCCGGTGCTGCTCTCGCCGTACGCGGTGGAGCCGTGGCCGAGCGTCGGGCAGCTCGTGGACATGCACCACGGCAGCAACTTGGAGGACGAGCCTGATCGAGCCATGAACCACTTAGGCACTGTCGTCGCCTTTCATCCATGGCAGCATTGGGGACTCGAGGGCGAGAGCTTTTACCTCGTCAAGCGGCAGACATATGCGCTGCCGGAGCATGTCGAGGCGATGGCGGGAGGCGACGTGCGCGTGGGCTCGTGGGTGCGGCTGCTGCCTCCGCACCCGGATGCGCGTTACGAGCTCGGCCGGGAGGCAATCGCCCCCAACGCATACGGGCAGGTAACGCGGCGCAGGTTTGAGCTATCGGAGACGATTGCACGGCGCATGCTTGAGCGCCTCCACCTGCAAGAGCCTCTCACAACGGCCGACACACACAAGCTTCTGGAGATCGTGCCCGTGACAGGAGCTGAGGAGGTATACTTGCCGTTGCCCGACGTGCACGTGGTGCTACACCGATGTGAAACATGCAGTGACTGCTTGGTGCTCGAGTCCACATTCTTGCTTGCCTACGACACGGACTTTGCGCCCCTTGACAGCGAGGACATGCAAAACCCGTGCCGCTCTCACTGTCCAATAGATCATGATTACATGTGCAAGTGCGCGCGCGAGCAGTACTCACACTGGGAGTGTAGGACCGGATGCCGCGATTGTACCGGTAGTGGCAGCGAATTGGACAGCGAGACGGATGAGGAGAGTGCGCCAGCAGATATGTCTGTGTCCCCTTAAAAATATCTCCTTTGTACCCATGCGGAGCCTTTATTCCGGCCGAAGGCCGACGCATCTCGCGGCGAGACACACACTGACCACTCCTCCCCATGCCCCCTCCGTGGGGCCGTGGCCCGCGTGCCGCAAGGCCCGCGAGCGTGCGAGCCGCTGGTGCGCCTGCCCAGTCGGGTGGTCCAGTTCGGCTTGCCCTTGCCATTCTTTGTACCCTCGGCCTGCTCGCTCGCGTCGCCAGCCAATGCGTCAACATGAAAAAGGATCCTCATTTGGCGTTTGCTCGAGGCGGGCGTGCTGACTTCCGCGGCCGCAATGGTGGGTCGCGATTCCCCGGGTGAGCGGTCCCGTGCTCACCGCGAGGCCGCTCCTCAGAGGGAGTTTTCAGCGGTATTTCAAGTCTGTCGTGATCCCCCACCAAGCAGAGAGACCCCCCCCAGCCAAGCAGAGAGACCCCCCCCCAGCAGGCCCTGCTTCCATTGGTTTCGGATACCTCAAGTTCGAGTTCACTAGGACGCCGCGGCGCCTCATGGCCAAGCTGGAGCAGGGGACGGATGTGGAGATCACTACCTCCTCCTCGGGCGGCCGCTCCAAGCACATCCTCACTCAAGTTGACGGGTCGGCGGCGCCGCTGCGCGCTGGCCGCGCGAAGCTGTCGCGCAGGGGTCGGCGCGGGCGCTGTGGGCGAGCCTGCAGCAGCAGCAAGCGTAGAGTAGCGCCTTAGTCATGCTCGCTGCTTCCGCCCCCTCCCCGCCCTCCCTGGTCAGCGCCGTTCGTGGAGGGCTAGGCGCTCCGGCCTCCGCCCGGGGCTCTCGCGACTCGCCTCTGTCTGCCGAGAGGGGGCTACCCTCTGAGGTCAACGCCCTCTGTGCCGCGCCAAGACAGACCCTCGGCCGGGGACCCTCTGAGGCCAAAATCAGCCAAGAGAGGCCACAGAGGCTGTAGGTATATTGTTGGCAAAATGTGGCGGCACAGAGTCAGAGTCAAACCCTCTGTGCCGCCAAGGCAGGGGTCCGACCCGTCCTCAGAGGGGGGTCTGAGGCCTCAGAGAGTGTGTATAACCCCCTAGTCTGCCACTGTCACCGGTAACTATTTTTTTTGCGGCACGCGCACAGGCCTCTCCTCCGCACAGGCTCTCACTCCTCCCCTGCCCCACTCGCCCCGGCCGGGGAGCGGCGACGCGCACCGGGGGCGTCGCTGTGGAACCGCGCCGTCGCCGGCGCCCTCCTCCGCCGCCCCGCGCTCTCGCCTGGCTCCCAACGGGCTGCGCCCGGCGGGGGCGGAAAGCGACGGGCAAAGTGGGCGCTTGGCGGGGACAAAGACGCGTGCGATCGGCTCCCGCCCGGGCCGCGCGATGTCGGAGCTCATCCATGGCCCAGTCGCCGGCGCCGACCTCCTCCCCCCTCCCCCCTCCAGGCACTCCTCGCTGAGCCGCCATGTCCAAGCGTGGTCGCGCCGGCTCGATGGGCAACAAGTTCCGCACGACGCTTGGTCTGTGCGTGGGCTCGGTGATGAACTGCGCGGACAACACCGGCGCCAAGAACCTGTACATCATCTCGGTCAAGGGCATCAAGGGCCGCCTCAACAAGATTCCCGGCGCGACGTGCGGCAACATGGTGATGGCGACTGTCAAGAAGGGCAAGCCGGAGCTGCGCAAAAAGGTGATGCCGGCGGTGGTGGTGCGGCAGCGGCGGACGTGGAGGCGGGTCGACGGCGGCGGGTACATCTACTTTGAGGGTGCGCGCCGCCCCAGACTAGCGGGCGGAGGGGCAGCCGCGCGCCGCGCCCGCAGCGGGTTGGTCAAGGGGGATGGAAGGGCAGGGAGGTAGAGGGGGGGAAGGGGCACGGGGCATTCGCATGGGGAGGAGGGGCTGCTGCGGCGCGAAGAGGGCGTGTCGGAGGGGGGTCCCTCTCGTTCCCCCCGCCGGCCTGGCCCGTCCCTGTCCCGTCTCCGCCCGGCGACTAGACTCGCCCCCGTGCAACAACGCCCCCCCCC